TTGGGCTCAAGCTCAGAAATAGTCGAGTGGTCGACACGGATGATGTCAGAGCCCCAACCGGCATATTTGTCCAAGTACGCCTGGAGTTCCTCGGGATCCAAGCTCCAATTCAAGCCGCCTCCCCAGTGGACAGGAAGATCTGGAAGCTCTTCACTGATCTCTTTCCATCGCTTGACAGAGCGATCACGGAAGTTGTAGTAGTACTGGGGGTCGCCAGATACCGCGTTGATCCAAGCAAACGAGTTGGGCGTTGCCACACCACCAACTTGCTCGGCAATAACAGTGACGTTTGTGTCTTGGGAGAGATGCCAAGCGATGGAGGCACCGACAATGCCGCCACCCACGACGACAACGTGCTGAGGGATGGATTCAACGCCCATCGTGGTGTCCTTGGGAGGGATCCAAGTAGCTGGTGCGGAGGATAGATCAAACTGTTCCATCGTGTCCAGAGCTTCAGCAACTATATATCTCTTCTTGCTATCCAACGTCGGCGCTTTCTCCGATAATTTTCACAACTGTTCACACGCCGACATCGCGATGGTGACAAGTTACACCTTCCAGATTAATATACCCGGAGTCCTGGTAATGGCTCAGCGGGGTACGTCCGACCCAGAAAATTGAGCAATATGTTACTATTCTCTGTGGAGAAATGAGCTCATTGCAACCCTATTATCAACCAAAGGATCAGCGGTGCAGGCTACAAGGCTAACTCACCGACACTACGACATATCACGCAACTATGTGCTATTAGACACTACGATTGCGCTATCTAGAAATCCTTATTCTACGTATGATATAGGCAATTCTTAATTAATCCATCCATCTTGATTATACCCCGGGGAGGACATAATCGTCTTGAGATTGGTTTTCCGCACGCTATGTTTTCAAATATGGCATTTAGAAATCTTCATTTGATCACGATCTGCATTACTTTCATATTCGGCCATCTTCTTCATTAAGACATACGGAAGGGAGTTTGAGTATAAAGTTAAACAGCAATGGAAGATGCCAGGCCCGACGAATCAACGCAATGAATACTGAATTAAACCATATTCAATATTATGCTTAAATACCGGGACTCTATGATTGGGTGAATCTACAGCAGCTATCGATCAAAGAGCGATGTGATCCAGTTAGTGGTTAGAGATAGATATACGCTAAGTTGAATCTTCAACAAATTAGATTGCATTTATTAGCTTAAAGGAATAAATATTCTTGTTTGTGTAAAAGCGTTTTCATGAAATTAATAAACGATGCCAGAGGTCGCGGCCAAGACAATTCATCTCCAGTAATGCCATGCGGTGTGGACTTGACCTGTCAAATCTCTAATGTATGAACTCAATCATCCTGGATACTTTAGTCACTACTTTACTAAAAAGAAGAATTGGTTTGATTGTTTCTTAATAAATCCTAGAAATCTCAAGGCTAAATTAAAGGCTTCAGGATCGAGACCATTGCTCCAGCTTATATATTCTCTAGACCTCCTTTTCGCATTGGGGTGACCATTGGTTTTTTATGGCTCAACTAAACCAAAGTGATTCAATCCAGCGGTCTATTTTGGCCTCTAGGTTTAATCTTTGGATTATTAAGATGGCTAAGAGATGGTTGATTCATTATTCCCTTACGGGCATCATAACATGGCAGTCTTTTAGAACCCCACACCAGAAAATTCTGGTTGAAAATACCCAAGTGTTCATTGACTCCCAAAACATTGTGACAAAGTATACTCCGCTTTTATATTGGGTTCACACTTCTACTGAGTGCCATTAACTGGCAACATCTTGTATCTAACTGCAGTAACGGAAATTCTCAGTTGTGAGAGGTAATTCGGTCGTTGCGTTCTCACTAATGAGCGGCTCCGAGAATGATTCAAAAGCAGTCACGGGAAATATCTGGCTAATAGGTACCTAATCAGCGTAATCCCTACCGGACACTAAATGAATCTAGAGGTTTCGTTTTCAAGCATAGGGTAGGAGCCGGGATTGGCATCTCCAAGGTTTATTCGTGCAGAGGAGTCGTCTAGTGGGAGAAAATTCAGGATATTTGGAGATACGACTGAATACTCCCTGTGAATCTCCCCTCCCCCCCCCCCCCTTGCAACAAGATTCAAATAAACTGAGCCACAAAAAGGATTTACAGTAAGGCGCTCCAAAGATTTTTCGCCTCGGATCGGTGATAACATCAACTCATCGAGCGACATGCAGGAACCCTTGGCCCTGTCGATTTGACACAGCTCAAATTTCCCGAGAGTGCGTCGGGAAGATAATTATGCTACACAGAACAACGATCTTGTTCTCTATGGGATGTTTTTGCTTTTGGGTGAGGAGAGGTGGGGTCATGCGGGAGATGCTGTCCCGCGTCGTGTTTCGAAATCATCGGGCATCAATGATCACTGGCCAACAGCTGCGGAGCCAAGTCAGGAAATTCCCGTATATTCCGGATGAAATTCGCTACGCATGAGTACTTCGTTATCTGTATGGGTGTGGATCCATAGGATGAAGGAAGGATATCGAATACCCTAAGGAAGAACAAGCTCCTGCCCGTCGTGTTTAGTGTAGGCTCGACATTCTATGTGCCAAGCCCAAAGCCTACGACGGGCTAGATTACCTATGTACCAGGTGAAGTAGTATGACTACAAAAATGACAGGCTTGGAACGGCTCGTCCTGCGTTGTTGCCTTCCCGAAGATTTTCGCGGAGTGCTCTGTTCGGCCCCTCATCTATGCCGTGTCTCACTTTGTTACAAGTCCTACTATGGAGCTTCCTACGACAAGGGCCAATCCCTTCACTCGAGCTGAATAAGTCATTAGTGATGTATCCTCCGTGCTCCCACTTCGGTAAAAACCTCTTCGCGGTCCGACGAATTAGACTCGTACTTCGGTATTCCACTACCCTTCTTTTCTTTTTCGTCAACAAAACAACCTCTACCGGAAAGGGAACGCTGCCGCGCATGAAACTGCCGTCGTTGACGATCTAGCCCTTGGTAATGTCTGTCACCTGCATTTCGCTTGATGCCGCAGCAGAAGCGGCCGCCAGGTCAAAATTGAAACATGTCAGAGCGAAAGAGGGTATGAAATGCATTAGTTAGGTGATGATGCCGGACCAAATTGCAGCCTACGAAATACTATGCTCCCCGTCTTGGGATGCCAAACGACGACGTTTGAATGATTCAAGCCCCTTTAATACTTGGACAAGAGATGACGTTTGGATTACTCTCCTGTCTACTTACTCTACCCACAGATTTGCGCATGTGGGTTTTAGGATGGTCAGACGCAGTGACCACCGGCCTGAACGAGCGAGGCAGAATGGCATAAAGGATTCAGATGTTGGCGGGTCAGATGATAGTTGCCACCGTCCTCAGCGAGACTATTGACGCGGCTCGAGAGGTGCCGGATGGGCAGGAATCGCGCTATCAGGCTCGAGGACAAAGGTCGTTCCTTGTGGCTGATCAAAGCTGCCTTGGCGCTTAGTTGTCAATATTGATGTTGGCAGTAGATAGTCTCTAATAGGTCGCCTGATGGTTCGTCATCCATGAGCGATGGATTCCAAGCCCTTAGTAACAACGGCAGTTGGTGATCGGGAGTGGCATCAGTCAGCACCGTGTTGGCCCGTTGCTTGCTTACAGGGCGCTTTAGCCCCAACTGGCCACTATCGGCACACTGGCCAGCGGGTGTTGGCCACTAAAAGGCTCAGGATCCGCGCTTATGCAGCTTACCCGATCCCCAAGCAGTAAGATCTCGCCCAACGGTGAGCTGACTTGTTAGAAACCAGGCAGTTGAAGCGAATAAAGACAAATCGTGCATGGTTTTCCCGATGTTCTCTTCGCGGGACTAGCTCTTTCGAGGCCGGCATTTGCACATCGCGCGGCGCATGCACTCACGAGTTACTACTCTTCGGGGTAGATCAACAACCAGAAGAGTCAGGAGAGGGGCTTGTGCGAGAAAATAGCCAGACACACGGGGACTTTGGCCAACCACCACAATTCGGCCACTCGAGACGTCGGCCGCAGAGACTAGAGTGATTGGTCCCTATTCGAAACCATAGTCGGGCCATCCGCGCACTGACTAAAGGCCGACGGGTTCTCGTTCTCTTCGGGAGGGCGCGTGGCTTTTGCACGAGGCTTGGGGCTAGACCCGACCCTGGACGAAAGCGGAAGGCATCACCATGGACAAACGGTCTGCGTTTCAGTGGCCCGTTTCAAGTTGTCGACTGCGGCCTTCTGCTGCACCATGCGATGCGTCATTTTCCCACCGGTCTCGTTCCCTCTCAACACAACGCCTCAGTGAAGGCAGAGTTCTCTGGCGTGGCGATACGAATGAATGACACGGCAGCCAGGAACCAGGCCGGGGCATCACATCGCGGCCGGCCCCCAACCCAGCGGCGGTGCTCTCTGGTGTGTGGTGTGAGTCCTGGCTGACTGGCGGTCGGTGCCGCTCTGCCTGTGCCTGAGTGGCCCCGGTGGCTGTTTCGGCTTGCCCAGCTAAACATAGGTGGCCGCTGGGTTCCTCCGAGTACCACCACAGGATCCCACGATCCAAAAAGCAAGAAATCGTGAATCATGACCAGGGAGGGGTCCCATCTTGGCGGCTCAGCCCCTCACCCACGCCGCCCGCCGGGTCTGAGCCGCGTGTTGCAGGCTTCGCTCGGGAGGTTAGGGTCATGCCTCCTTGCCCCAAACCACGTTGTCTCGCCTCGTTGCCTTATCCTCCCCTAGGCACCATGCCTTAATTTATCATAGCCTGCGTGCTTGTGCATGTGTGACAGGAGGAGGGGTCCATGCAGGCACCGCATATGATCCGCGGGGGCGGCGTCTGCCCTCCCGTCTTATAAACCTGGGATCCCTTCGCTCTCCCGCACCGCTTACGTCCTTCAAGCTCTCCCGTGGCTGGCCTGCTCGCATGGTGTTGCTCCTTTGATTTTTCTCTTCCCATCCAGCTGCTGGTCAGTTTCCCTGGTGATCTTCTCTTGCTGCTCTGCGTCTGTTCATACCGGCTTGCCAACCATGACCACGACGTATACTTTCTACTGCCTCACTCTCGCCTTTCTAGCCACCGCCCTTGTCACCAGCACCGTCATATGTTTTCTGTCATTTCTCAAGCTCCATGCTCGAAGTAAGACGGCAGAGGTCGGGGTCAACTGGATCCGGGCCTCGATGACCATCACCTGCATGTAAGTCAGCATCCATCCCAACATGCAACGATCCCAACCAAGGGGGCCAATTGTCTAACATGATCTGCAGATGGCTCATCGTATGGTTGGTAGAGGCGTCCATGGCTTTTCATGTCGACAGGAGCGACATTACGGGGCCAAGTACCCTGCACAGCGTTCTCGATCATCTGGAGGGTGCGAGGACACTCTTGGGCGTCGTGACATCGGCGACCATCATGAGCACTGAGGCTGAGCTCGTCGTCACCCTCAAGCAGGACGTCACGATCAAGAACACTCGCACCCTGACCTGGGCCTTGTGGACATTTATCCTCTTTCTTGGGCTGATTCGCTTCATCTTCTACGAGATCAGCCTCACGACGCACGACGCTGAAGTCATATACAGCGCCTCGGCGTACATGGAGATGGCCCTCTACGTCGTCATCTGCTTGATTGCCTTCGTCCCCTTCATCTGCCTCGTTCTGTACCGCTCGATGCTCCCCAACTCAGTAGGTTCTCCCATCCAAGGCATCTATACCAGTGCCCGTCTCTAATAACAGACAAACTGTAGATTTTCTTCCTACTCCTCATCGCCTACTTCCTCACCGTCGGCCGTCTCGGCTTCTCCATCGCCCAAGACGTCCTCGTCGGGATCGGCGCCGACCAGCACGACGCCTACCTCACCCTCCCAAACTGGATACGCATCGCCGAAGCCGCCGTCGTCGGCTGGGCGGCCGTCATGACCATGACCATCATCTACAGCGCCATCCCCAAGCCGAAGAAGAAGAGGCCTTCGCGCCGAAACAGGCTCTCCACGGCCTCCGACATGTCCTTCAACTGCCAGGACACTCTCTACTGGGACGCATTGACCAAGAGCTCGATCGAGAGCAATCAGGTCTAGGCTTCTAATCTCTCATCACAAGGCGGCGTTCCTTTGTTTTTGCTTTGATTTCTTCCATGTTATATGGTTTTAGGGGTTTCAGGTACGGGGTTTTTGGAGGAAGTTTGGTGTTTTATGATTTTGGCATTGCTTTTTGCTTCTCATGGTTTTACGAGCACATTGATACCCACGACACCGTGCAAGACAGGTAGATGCACATAGCTGATTTATGAAGGTCACGATTCAGAAAGGATAAATTGAAAAGTCTTTTTTTTTTTTTTCACACTTGGCATAGCTCGCAAGGTGGGAGAAGTCAGGCGACGCCCGCATCCATGCTTTTGTGACACACCGAACGTTTCACTCACCGACTCGGCAGACCGTTGCTGAGACGGTTATATGCTTCATAAAAATGGGCGACGTGATAAGAGATGTTTCTATCAGCAACATGTCATTAGCTGGTGATGGTCGTTCTACTGACAGGCTGGGAGAGGTAGCATCCGTGATCAAGGGTATGAGGAAGTGGCGAAATGCAGAGCATGGATGCTATAAAAAACCTACATTGCATTATTTTTACAATGCCTGCGTCACATCAATTGATCCACGGCCGAGGGCGTAGGATGAACATACATCCAGTTGTGGCGTAACTCTCCAGAAGGTTTGGGGCTTGAGAGATTTTGCCGTTTGTGGGCCTTCTGAAACTATACCGACTTTTCCCATCAACGGATTGAATCCTTGCATCGGAGGAGCAGTCCGAATCGATCCGAGTACATATCAAGAAACATACTTATTATAGCCAGGCAAGCCGACCCCCACAGCGACTCCAGAATCCAAAGTCAGGGCTAGCAAGCGAAAGGATGGACAGCCCACGCCGGCGGGAGCTCGAGGTGGCCATCGCCGCCGTCCAGGCCGCAGCCAGGTTGACGCAGCACGTCATCAACTCCAAGGACAAGGGCTTCGTCGAGAAGAGCGATGCCACCCTCGTGACGGTCGCCGACTTTGCCAGCCAGGCGCTGCTCATGGCCACCATCAAAGCCGCGTTCCCCGGCGACCTCATCGTCGGCGAGGAGGACGCCTCCCAGCTCAGGGAGGACCCCGCCCTGCAGGACGAGGTGTACGCTCTGCTGCAGTGGCTGGGGACCAGCAAGGAGGATGAGGGCCGCGATGGCTGGAAGGTGCCCGAGAGCCGGGAGCGCATGTGCGACCTGCTCGACGAGGGCGGCTCGAGCAGCCCCTCGCGCTCCGGGCGGACGTGGATCTTCGACCCCGTCGACGGGACCAAGACGTATATCCGGGGCGAGCTCTACGCCATCAACGTCGCCCTGCTCGAGGACGGGAAGCAGTCCGTCTCGGTCGTGGGGTGCCCCAACCTGGGCATCGACGCAAAGGCCCCCATCGCCAACGGCGACATCAGCCCCTCCGGCATCATCGCCTTCGGAGTGAAAGACCACGGCGCCTACGTCCGTCCCATAGAGGGCAGGCCAGAGGACGTGGAGGTCCGGAAGCTGCCCCAAATCTCGCCGGACCTCACATCCGCCGACCTGCGCCTCGTCACCTGCGAGACCCTCAACGACTCGTCCCTCCCCGGCGTCCACGAGGCCATCGCGGCGCGCACCGGCACGCCGTACCCGGGCTCCGACCTCCTGCCCTGGGTCCTGCGGTGGACGGCGCTGGCACTGGGCCTGGGCAACACGACGGTCTGGGTGTACAGGCGGTTGGAGCGCCGGGGCAAGATCTGGGACCACGCGGGAGCGATGCTGCTGTTCGAGGAGACGGGCGGGCGCGTGACGGACGTCCACGGCGGGGACATCGACGTGACGGCCGGCCGCACCATGACTGAGAACTTTGGCTTCGTGGGCGCGCCGAGGGGGTTGCATAGCCAGGTCTTGGGGGCGGTGCATGCGGAGCTGCGTGGGCAGGGCCATACGGCGCATTTGGGGCCTTGTGCTTAGTCGACTATATGTTTTCTCGAAAATGGGGTCTTTGGGAGCTGATAGAGGTTGAAATAGACTGAGCTGAATAGGCAACCCCCGGTTTGCCTATATTGTCATCCCACCTAGTGAAGGATCACAAGCGCCTGCTAGTTAGACCTGAGAAGAGGCTGAGGGCTGACGGCTTGCTATCGCGTTCTTCTCTCCTGTCTACTGCATATTCACGATCCAGTTACCTATTGCAGTTCCGGGCGTCTCGATTGGATGAGAGCTGTCATTGTGGCACGGTGGTCGATGTGATCTCTGCTTGGCCGCAACCAGATGCTCGGCTATGTCTTGCTACATGGCATGGAGGCGACGACGGCGGCCATTGCATGATAAGTGCGAAACAAGGAGGTGCCTCGTAGAATCATTAAATGCCCGAGCGCTATCTTACGAATCGATGCTAGGGACTTTAGGAGCTACACCACCCCTACCCCAGCTTTCTGGGGATCTCGAAGATCATAAGGGCGGCCATCTAATTGTTGCTACAGTAGCTCGCTTGCTCGGCATGGCAAGTCGCGGCAGTCTCTTTATGTATTGTTTTCAATCCATCTCTGTGAAGCAATACTCATAGGTGGCTTGCGGACCGAGAGCAAATGGCTTCATGCCAATACCCCGGGCGACATGCATGAAAAGGGACAAAATAAGCTACATCTGGGGCGTTTCAAAACCGCTCACCAAAAAGGCATCACGCCAGGTGTTCGAGGCTATGCAAACTCATGCATATGTTAGTGTCACATGGATTAAATACATACAAAAAACAATATGTAGACGGATGATATGTTAGACTAAGGGCAATCAAGTCGGAGATTGATTATACGTGTATCTACTTACGCCCCGGCCAATCACTTGCAGAAAAGGATCCGCGGGTATCCTTCCCAGACGGTATCTGGCAGGCAGGCAGCGGCATTGCGTGAGCGCTGATTTCGATGCCATTTGCCATTTGGACCCGGGAACCAGCAGTCGCATTGAATTGATTGCACAAGCAACGATCGGCACAGCGGCCAGAACAGTCATTGGCGAGCTGGTACTTCGGTACGTAATTCCTTCCAGAGCGCCGGATTGGATGCGCTGGCCGCTGGAGATTAGCTGCTGGGACGTCAGGTGGGTGCGTTGCGCGGTGCGACGCTGGTGAGTGGCCAGTGCCGGTGCTCTGACGTCGTCGCCGGGAACCACTGGGGACAGGTAGCCTGGTACCTGCTCGAGCTGCTGAAACACCAGATCACGGTGGGTACCCGCTACCTGTGGCCTCTAGCCCAGCCTGACTCTAGCAGCCCGTCATCCATTGCTCCCGTTCGAGCACCTCACCATTCGCCGGTACAGCAACCGCTAGCAGACTCTCCAGTCTCCAGTCTCCAGTGCATTCTCCAGCGACTACTGCCAGTCAACCCAAACCTCATCCTCCGCCTCCACTCCAACTGGGAACCGACTGGGGCTTCCCACCTTCTCCTCATTCATCCGGCTCCTCTGGCCACCGTCTCTTCTGCCTGCTGTCTGTTCCTGATGCACCATCCGTCACTCCCTGCCGACCCGACCGTCTGCCCTCTGCTGCCCATTGACATTGACGCAGCCTCCGTCATCTCCAGAGCGGCGCTGCTGCATTGCATCCCCCGGGCGACCCAGCGTGCCCTCGTCCTCACCTAATTTCACCCGGCTCATCTTCCAGGCAAGCAGACCAGCCAAGCACCTGAGACTTGTGTGAGCCGTGTTACAAGTTGGCTGACACAGGCACCAGCTCCTCCAGCACCACCTCCAGCCCTGCCCCACATTCAAAGTCAAGAACAACAACACATCCCGCCCGTTCGAGCAGACAACCCGACCAATTCCCCATTCCTGTGCCAAACACATCGACGGCGGGCTTCGTTCCTGGCCCCTCTCAATTCCAACCTAGAGACGATCCCCCCTCCCTGCATCCAGACCCGGCCGCGCGCACCCTCCGACGCACCTCCCCCAGTGCTGTGTGCGCACCCCCGTGTGCCACAAACCGAGCTTCCAGTATGGCTGCGCTGTTCCGTGTCAAGGCGCTCTACGAGTACACCTCGCCGCACGAGGACGACCTCAACTTCGACATCGGCCAGGTCATCACCGTCACCGAGGAGGACGACGACGACTGGTACGGTGGCGAGTACCTGGATGCGAATGGCGTGAAGAAGGAGGGTATTTTCCCTCGCAACTTCGTCGAGAAGATAGAACCTCAGGCTCCCCCTCGGCCGACCAGGAACCGCCACAAGAAGGACACCGAGGCTCCTCCCCAGCCAGAGCAAGCTTCGTCACATCCTCCTCCCCCTCCTCCGACCGTGCCGGCCGTCGAACCGCCTGCCCCGCAGCCCTCAGAACCCGAGATCGAGGAGGCTCCCGAGCCTGTCCAGAAGAGCCCGACTTCTCCCCAGAAGCAGCCAGCGCCCCCCGTACCTACGCCTGCTTCGCCTGTCAAGACGGCTCCCGCTCCCGCTCCCGTACCTGTCCCAGCACCTGCAGCAGCACCTGCTCCCGCCCCCAAGTCGAAACCCGGTCCTCCTCCCGTCTCTGAGAAGCCGAAGAGTAGCTCTTTCAGAGATCGCATTGCCGCATTCAACAAGCCTGCTGCACCTCCCATTGCGCCCTTTAAGCCTGGTGGACTGAGTGCCGGCGGTGGTTCTGGGGGCGGAACTGGCTTCATCAAGAAGCCCTTCGTTGCCCCTCCCCCGAGCCGTCATGCTTTTGTGCCGCAACCGCAGCAGGCCCCCGTTGCCAAGGTATACCGAAGAGACGAAGACCCCGAGATCAAGGACAAAGAGGCAGAGAATCAGTTACAAGCAGAGCGTGCAGGCTTAGCTGGAGACCACGCCGAGGGCGAAGGAGGCGAGGACCAGCCTAAGCCCACCACTCTGAAGGAGCGAATTGCGCTGCTCCAGCAGCAGCAGCGAGAACAAGCCGCGCGCCAAGCCGACGCCGCAGCGAAGAAGGATAAGCCCAAGAAGCCACCCAAGAAGGTTGAGCCCGCACCACCCCCAGCCGGCGAGGATACCGTAGAAGAGGAGGATGTGCCGCCCGTGCCCCTCGGGCGGAAAA